ATGTGTTATATGGCATATCTATTTAGTTTAGTTATCTGTTACACTCCAGAGAGTCATACTTTCTCTCTATCCTTCAAGTATTTTTTCTCTCTTCCCCACACACTCTCTCTCTCTTTTCTTTCTTTCTTTCTTTTTTTTTTTTTTTTCACTTTTGTATTTTTTCACTTCGTCCATATCTTTTGTCATCCTTCTTTTTTTTCCATTCTTCTCTCCTTCCGTCTTTTCGCTCGGGAATTTTTTTTATTTTCTCTTCTTTCTTTTGCATATGTTCTCTCTCTCTGTGTCTTTTCCCGTGGATTAAACATTTGCGAAATATTTAAAATTTTAGTCGATTTTAAAAAGAAGGAAAACAGTTGTATTCAACCAGGAAATATTGCAAACGCATTTTTTTTTGTTTAAAACAATATACACATTGTATCTAGGTAGGTACATATAACACATTCTTCGTACACACACGCGCGCGAACTTGCTTGTAAGTTTAATTTGACGTTGCCTCAGTCAGTACAACTTTTTGTAAGTTTAAATAATTCACTTTACTTTTACTTTATTTATTTATTTTTGTTTTGCAATACGACTGTAGTTCGAAGATTGTAAATAAGACTTTTATAATAATAATAATAATAATGATAATAATAATTTGCTATAAATCATAAAAAAAAGACCTGTTTGATTGGTTTGCAAATTGCAAAAAAATTTGGTGTTTTTAGTTTTTACTTCCGCTAAAATTGTAAGAAGGATGATTTTTGTTTTGTTTTGTTTCGTTATAACTAAAAAAAAAACGTTCTTTTTTTAAATTTGTTTTATTTAAATTTATCATTCATGTATTTTAAAAGCAAAAGTTTTCGAAAACATTTTACAAGCCTCGAAATTAAGGTGACAATCACGAAATAATTTTGTGTTAAAGTTTAAACCCTAAAAACAAGGAATAGAATAAAATAACAGTAAAAATACCAACAGTTTTGTAGTTGATTATTCTTTGCCACATTTATTGCCACTTGCATGGTGTTATTTTTTAAAGACAAGACGAAGAAACAGGTTGACATTTAGGCATACATACATAGATACGTATATCTATGTGCATGTGTGACAAGTACATATAGGCACAATCTGTACCATAAGACAATATATGTTAGATTAATCAGTAAAAAAACAAAACCACACACAGAATAAATATTCATTTTTCAACATAATCTCCTTCACTCCAACAACCCTTTTCACCTCAAACAAAACTCAAATCGTATATGTGTTTCCGGTGTGATTTATATATATATATATATATATATATATATGTATGTCGAAATTTAGATGTGCAAGTGTGCGCAACAGCATTTGCACATATATGTGCACCAATATTTGCATATCTATCTATCTATCTATATATATATATAACAATATATGCACCATTTGAGTTCATAACCAAAGGATAAATTAAAAGAAAGAGAGAAAGAAAAAAGACATTTACTTTATACAACAAATATTTTTTAATATATTATCCCGTTAGGTGACACTGCACCTGATGCAATGATTTATATTAATAAGTTAGATCAAAGTTTAGCGAATTACTGTAACATGAAATATATTTAGTCCATTTTCTTTTTTGTTTGTTTGTTTGTTTTATGATTTCCCTTCAATCAAGGCAACAAAGCCACTAAGACGCAAATGGGAGTTTCTGAGTGTGAAAGAATATAAGAAAAAGAAAGATTTAAAGAGAAAGAATAATTAAAGAACAGAAGATAACGCTTGACATTGCATTTAAAATATTTCCGAAGATCAAAGTTGATTAAAAAAAAAGGGGGAAAGTGTTCCACAAGAGAGAAGTGCGATAGGAGGCATGTGTGTATCGAATCATCTATAAATGTTTACTCAACTTTTTTCTTTTCTGGTTAAAAGTCGACAAGTGTTTGGCAAGCTGTTATGGTCGATAATCGATAATCGATCTCGCTGCACTGCTACGACTTACATATGGATGTAAAATGTATATATATATATATATATATATATATATATATATATGCAAGCATCCTTAAAATTACTCATGAGAAACAAAAAAGTAAATAAAAAAAAATTAAAAAAATAATATCAGTGTTTGAAAGAAAGATAAAGAAAGAGAATCTGAATTTATTTTGGAGTTCGTACAACTTAACAAACAAGGAATAATAATTAAAACGAAAACTTCTGACATGTTTTTAGATGTTCTTTACAATTTGGGAAATTCATATAATGTTTGTTGTATGGGTG